GGAGATGAAGAAAAAGCTCTGGATACAGAGGCTGCCCAGGGAGCCACTGCTGCATGGGTCAAGCTCTCCAGCAGCGCAACCCTGCGGCGAAAGGCAACCTTTTGTGGCAGCCATGTCCCATAGCTGCAGGGAGGATTCAGTGTCTTCTTCTATTTGTTTTCTGGAGTTGATCAAACTAAACTGCTCTGACCCCAAAAATCAGTTTTGTTTTGAATTCTAGGAAGATACTACTAACATACGGTCTGGTTGTGTAATTTTTATGCTTTCATAATAACTTATCCTGCAAGTAGTCCCACTGACAATGATTTTATGACCACGAAGTATGGAAGGCCAAGAAAAGGTGCCTCTTCAACCTTCCCTTGTGCTCCCATGGTGATAGTACTTTAGTATAGCTCCATATCAGTGTCCTCCTCTTGTACCTGTCAAAAACTCCCATTATTTTCCTGTCTGCTGCTGCAAGTGATTCACTGTCCATTGCTGGGTGGCTCTCTCCCCCTTTCCTGGGAGGTAGGGAGGTAGATGAGGAAGATGCCTTCCTCCTATATCCATTTTAAATTCAATGACATTTTTATACTTTCCATATTGCCATTGTGGAGTTTGAATCTCCAGAACCGAGCTGAGGTAGCTCATTAATACATTTCATGTTGTGAAGATAGAAAAACGCAGTTTGTCTTAATGCAGCAGGGAGAATGGTCTGTCAGGGGAGCAGAGCCTTCCTTACTCAATTTGGGGACAGCCAGGCACTCTTCCGAGTTGCGTTTTTTTGTTTATATTTGCAAAAGTCCTCTCCAGTGAAAATATATTACATATTTTTAACTATTTATTTATCTGTCTATGCTTTTTCTATTTACTTATCTATCTCTCATCTAGAAAGTTCAACTCAACTGAAATGATTCTGCTGTCATTGCCTGAAGCAGCAATAAGAGAAAGGAGAAGGGATACGTCTGAGCAGCATTTTTCCTGCAGAATACCCCTCTGGATTCAGCTAAAGCAAGTCAATCAGTCCTAGCAATTGCTTTCTGTTCCCCTCTACAAACAACAGTTTGTCTCTGACATGCAGAGTTAAGGAGCCAGCAAGAAGCATTAACATTTCGTTGCGAATCTATTAATTGCCAGCATTACACCCAAGGGGCAGATGATGTGATATTAATAGGAATACCAGAAACCAATTCTAGCAAGCATGCACAGATTAATCATCACCGTTCTTGTCTGTTATCCTCGTACAATAAACACTTTGATCATGGTCTTCATGATATGCTGATAGGTAACTATTATTTGAGAGTTTGATTCCCAGCTGCTTTAAAAGAGTCCAGACTATAGAAGAAATGATGGCAAAAAAGCTACTTTTATTTACTTTGCACTCTTTAAGGTATCACACATACCACAGAAATCTAATTCAGAAGCGAGATGGAAAAACGCAGTTTGGAAACATGGGCTGTAACCAGTGCTGCCAACCACCAAGAACTCCTGCCCACAAAAGGCACCGTCGCCGTTTGCAGTCATCTTTCAGCTGTCTCCGCACTGATCTGTGCATTAGTGTTGCTTTAGGCCTGCTGCCAACGTAATATGACAGTTTCAGTGCAAAATAGGTGCTAAGCAAAGACAGCTCTAAATGAGCCACCTAGTTAATGTAGTGAGCATGGCTGCTTCTGCATAAAGGCTTTTTTTTTTTTTTTTTTTTTGCTATTTGGGAGTAATCAAATGTGATTTTATGTTTTTTCTGTCTAACAGAATATGACAAGAACTATAGCTGAGGGGAAGGAGAATGAAAACTCTGGAGTAGAAATGTGTTTATTTCTCCAGGCAGAAGACCAACTGACAGGCCTACTGGCTAAAACCCACTAAATTTGGGAGCTTACTACTGTAAAATGGTGTTGAATGGAGGCATCCCTGCAGCTATCACAGCACCGAGAGTGGACCCTTCTTTGAGTTTTCACTTTCTCTTTTTTTTGTGTCTGAAATGTGACCTTCTAAAGAAACAGCATATTCCTTCTCAAGGGACAGTTATTAAGAATTTTAGGCAGGGGAATGTAAGGAAACAAGCAGACTATGATGATACCAAGACCTTTATTAATTGCAGACAGATTGACCCTCTCCACAAAAGGTTTTTAGCATAGATCTATCTGTTCTAGTGTAATCATGATCGCTTTTCTTTTCTGTCTGGTGAGGATCTTACTACACTAAACAAACAGCGATCAGGTTAATAAAGTTTTTCTAATTAGCATCTAAAAATAAGTTAGTCAAATAACTGAAGCAGTTTCAAAAGCATAAGCAATCTTACGCAAATACTCATCCTTGGAACAAATTTCTTGATTATGTTGCTATTGCTCTGAGAAATACCACAGCTAAGCAGAACAACTGCCTTGCCAAAAACATTTACTGTCTAAAATGTAAACTGAAGGGTCTGAGAAAGAGGAAAAAATCAAAACCTATTTTTTTGCAATTCCCTTAAAGACAGCCAGTGTTTTGATGTGTTCCTCACTTTTAGCTAAATCATTATTTTTCTCCACTTTGTTTCACATATAAAGCAATCTGCATACCAAAAACATGTCCTTACACAAGCCCGAGTCTGGAAAGAAGTAGAGACATTTTTGGTATTGATTTCAATACTATGAAACCAGCAGGGTTTTTTTTTCCTTCATTTTGGCAAGATAATAATTCTTATAAATTCTATTTTACTACAGAAATCTGTCTGTACACACTTTATGTTACAGCCCCACTATATGCTATATTTGAGTAAGCTAAGCAGTGATGAAAATGGAGTCTTTATTATGCCTCGTTTTTTTTTTTCAAATCTAAATAAAGGAGAAAATGATAATAGACTTGAAGCTACATCCACACGCAATTCTCTATCCCATTCCAAAAATTTACCTTTGGAAATTGTTCTGTCTTCTCTGTATGGTATTCCTGCTAATGGTGTGTTATCGCCTACCTAGCTCAAATGTATACATAAACACACTGCAAGACTGGTATAGCAGAATGCTTCCAAGGGTCTGCAGAAATCCACATTCCTCTCACAAACAAAATAAAATGCTCACTTTTCTAGAAAAAGTATGTCTCGTCATGTTTGAAACAAACTATGCAGGGAGAAAAATAAATCTTAAGTGAAAATTCTTCAAAAGAAAAATCCACATGGCTTTCAAAGATACGGTATATTTATGGAGAAACTGTTACTGCTCATGGCTGGTATATCTTTCTTGAGACAGGAGAAAGAAAAATTATTTTTGAGCAAATGCCCTGAATATGAATACTACATGGCTCATAGTTGAAAATTCCTATATAAAATACAGATAACCTACCCTTCTGCTCCACTATTTACATATGCAAATGGCTATAGACTGTACATCTATAGAAAGATAAATTACGGTTGTTTAAAATGTGTCATCTATCCATTTCTGAGAGAATATGCATCTTATTATGCACCTCCTCAATATACACCAAAACCATTGGACAGAAGATTAGGAATTTGATCTCCTTCAATATTTAAAACAAAGTCAATGTTTAGCATGATTACAGGAACATCACGTACCAAGGCCCTTACATGAGCATGTGGCACCTGAACGCTGTACCTAAAAGGGGCTTGTATCCAAGGCAGTTAACCAAGCACTCCTCTGAAGCAGGAACAAATGGCAACGTTTTCTGGTCACATTTTGAAAGCTCTTTAGGCACAGTGCACGTAGGCCCATGCACATTAAGTTGTCTTTCTACACAGCCCCTTCCAAGGCTTCCTAGGAAGAAGGACTGCGGTTACAAGGATGATGTTAACGACTGCTTTTTCATATGTACAGATCCTGGGGTCTGGGACATGTGTGATCCTGAGGTCTGCAGGCTGCGATTGCTGCTGTGCTGACTGTTCCAGGGAGTGAAACATGGGGGCATTTATTGGAGCACTTGGGTCTGAATTGCTTTGGCTGGTGGGTCTTGCAAACGCCTCCTCAGAGGGACACCTCCTACTGGGACACAGTGGAAGGCCTAAAGGGGGTTTTCAGAGTGTGAAGCGCGAATGCGAGCCGGTCCTGGCGCTTGCAGGGAGCGGGCTGCGCTGCTCAGCGCTGGTGCGAACCAGACTGTTGCCAAATCTCTTAAAGAGGCAGCCCCAGCCCAGAGAGAGCGTTTCTGAATGCCCCAATTGCAGCAGGGCATCAGAGAGATGACACCTGTTGCTCTTGAAACACATGAGGGAAAAAAAGGCTCACTGCAACTGCTTGTTGGCAGTTCGTTTTCACAACAATCCTGTTAATGCTACAGAAGCTACTAGCATCTTCAGATTTTAAAACAAAATTGCATGTGGGAGGCAAACCAGCAGCCTCAAGGCCTGGTGTGGAGCTTGGCCCTAGAACTGGGCTAGTGTATAAATGCAGGGGTTTGTAGCTACAAGCAGTAACAAATAACACAAGTGTTTTATAAGCTGTACGGATGCTGGAGCATGGTTGTGTTGCTAGGTAAACCTGTGTCTATTCTCAGAGAACAAGGAGTTTGGGGTTCTCCAGAAAAGGAGGATGGGCTTGCAATATGCTTTCTCCCTTATAGAGAAGGGGTAGACCTTTGCTTTGAAAGACAGAAGGATGAAATTTTTTTTTTTTTTCCCTTTGCTGAAGTAGTCACTCTGTCCTGATCAAGAAAAGGATACTGCAAAAAACTGGAAACAAAATGAAAGGAAGGTGCTGGCTGTACCCAAGGCCAATGCAAGGTGTGAAAGCCAGTGAAAAAGGGGAGACAACAGCCTAAGGGCGTGGGTCACCAGGCTCTGGATTTCGCACCTCTGCGAGCCCTGGAAATGTTGCTCATTAGCGCAGAAATCCCCTTTGGGCCTGTCTCAAACCCCCGGCCTCTCCTCACAGGGCCGCATGCGCCCGTCGGTGAAGGCGTCGTGGTCGGGAGGCTCCAGGGAGCACGGCCGGTTCCTGCCCCGCCTGCCCCACTTGCTACATGCCAGGGCTGCGGGGATGAGATATATAAGAGAGCACCAAGGCGGGCCGGGCATGTGGCGGCAACCGGCCATGGAGGCGGAAGAGGCCTCGGCGTCGGCCAAGGCGGCGTTGCGGACGCCCAAATGCTCGCGGTGCCGCAACCATGGCTTCGTGGTGCCGGTGAAGGGCCACGCCGGGCACTGCCGCTGGAAGCTCTGCCTCTGCGACAAGTGCGCCCTCATCACCGAGCGCCAGAAGATCATGGCGGCGCAGAAGGCGCTGCGGCGCGCGGCAGCAGCAAGGGCCTGGCGCGGCGCGGAGCCCCGCTGCCGCCATCCCCGCCCGGCGCTGCCCTCTGGGACTACGGTAAGGGCCGGGCCTCGCTCTGCCTCCATCCCGCTGCTTTTCCAGGCTGCCAAGGTGGGGAGACAAAGCCAGCGGGACGGGAATGTGGGAGGGAAACACGGAGCGTCGTTGGCTGTGCCACACGGCAGGCAAGGCACTCGCGCCTGTTTCCCTCCTGGTTTGTAATTTCCCGGACGCATCAACAAGAAAAAGCACTTGAGCAACAGCAAGGAAATGGCGAAGTCACTGCTGCACTTGCCCGGAGCGAGCATTTTATGATAGCGCCGTAAAAGCAGGAGACCTTTTGGCCCTAATTCCTGCAGCAAAGGCTTAACTTGGCGCAGAGCACTGGGAGTAAAAGCGCGTTTGTGTTTAGGAGCTCAGCATAGATTTTGCAGATGGAAAAGGTGTATGGTCTGTCACCTCTTAAATTGCTTCCTTTAATAGAGTCTTTCATGTGACTTGTCTAGTCTATTACTATTTATTATAGTAATTTCATACTATTACTGTTTACTATAGTGGTTTTACAGAAATCCCTACAGACGGCAGCAGCCATTAGCCTGGGTCTCTGGAGAGCTGGCAGTCCAGAAGACAAAGAAAACGCTGGTCTGAGAAGCCCACAGAAAAGGGTTGTTTTAGACATCTCTAGTTCCCACTTAATCTGTTCCATTTTTTTCACCTTGGTTTCCTAAGGAAATGAGGCTTATGGCTCATGCTGGCTCTACATGTGCCTGTCAGTCTTTCCCTTAATATCATTTTTAACTTGTTCACCAATTTCAAGCAGTGTTAGAGGCAAACAGCAGAATGATAGTTCTGGTTTATACCAGTAGGTTTATTCCAGAAGCAAGCTCTTCCACTCCTATACCAATAGCAGGATGTGTAGACAAGAAAGACTCTATTCATGTTCATACAGACCCTTCTTTTAGACATCAGGGAAGCTACAATAAGAGTTCAGACACAAGATAAAAACCCGAAGGAAGTAATTGATTTGTGCACCTGAAATGGTCTCTTTGTGTCAAGGAACCCCAAAATGAGCTTTTCTCTGCAAATTAACTTTGGAAGGAATTCATAGTACTGAATTTAGAGCTCTGTGTTGTTTCTGTAGACTTTTTGTCTTTCTGTTAAGTTTTGATTAATTTAAAAGTCCTAAGGCAATTTATTTTCTCCTGCTGTTGCATATATACTGAAAGAATAAGACTGCAGTCAGGGCTTTACTAAGGACTGACCGACTTCCCAATGCATAAGGCAGAGGAGACTGCAGCTCATTCTGCAGTGTTAGGATTGCCTGCTGCAACTTTCCTTAGTTTCTTAAAAAGATCACAGAAGAAATTCAGTGTGTAAAAGTGAAACCAAAGGGTCGACTGCTCATGGCTGCGAGTAGAATTTGACCCTGCAGCTGTTTCTATTGAATTCCACTTTGATGCTTTTAATTGTTTCTTTTGAATTGTTTCCTAGCTCAGCGTGCCTTTCCTCCTGAATACGTGGTGAACCCCGATTACCTGGAGAGAGAACCTCTGAAGGTGTACCCTGGGCGTTCTGGGGTGTATCCTTACCACCCATTTCCCGTGGGATTTGCTATCAATCAGTCAGGCTGTAGGGGAGCACCATCACCTCCAGGGATATCCCTTCAAAGAGGCTTCCGACACATTCCTAGCACCTATGGGCCAGGCAGCGCAGCATCTCTGTCAGTAAGTTGTGGTCTTTTGGATTACATCTGGAAATACTGTTCTCTTTATTTTCAGCTGCCTTCTTGCTGTTAAAGTAACCATGAAAAGTTACCTGCTTATCAGTTACTTCACAGGATCTTGATACATTACACTGAAGAAAAAAAAAAGGCAAGCAAATAGTAATGTTAAAAGTCTGACCTGAGCCACGAATATCAAGCCCATATAGTTCTGGGGGACCAGATTTTGTATTCGGGTCTTACACCTACTGCTGATTTCCACAACCTTTTGGGAAGATGGCAGCTGGTCACTAACATAGTCATTTGTGCCATCATAGGTGGCACAGAATGTGTACTGGGAAGTTCCTCAGCTTCCATGTTGGATGGAAGTCACTGGGATGGGAAGGTAGCTTGGACTGCCTGATGTGCCACAGCCATAGAGAAGGAAAGTGAAAAATCTCTTTCACCTTCCACAAAACAATGAATCAGCATGATCTTTTTTTTCCCCCCACCAAGTAAAGGAAAATTGTTGCAGTTAAGAGAAGTTTCAAATGAAAAATGATGAATAAACGAAAGCTCGATTTTCTATGGAGAAAAATGCTAAACAGAAAGTTGAGATGGTGTTGAGGGGAATGGATAGGTGTATTTTGGAAGGAGGGGAGGTCTTGCAGGAGAACAGAAAAAACCAATATCACTACCTAGACTCCTTGGCTGAATTCAGCATTTTGTTTAAGTGCCTATGAAAGCTGAGGGTGACAGGCAAAGTGCCCAGCTGAGAGACAAACCAGGGCAGAGTTTGACCCACACCTTCAAGCCACAGGGAAGAGGCATGAAGCCTCTAAATGACCTGTCAGCTGTAACTGTGTGTGTGGACACTTCTAGTTCCCTTCAGTGCTGCCAGTCCTCTTGCTTTAAACTGCTGGTGTCCAGTCTTTGTTCCACTCTTGGGCACATTATCAGATTTCCAGCCGCCCTGAGTACTGTTGATCAACTCATGTTAAGACAGTGAGTTCTGAGCCTCAAAAGTACCAAATTTATTACACTAGCACAGGAAACCTCTGTCTACATTTTAGGGGTTGCTGAGAGCAAAAGTGATAGAAGCAGCCTGAGGCCCAGATAAATTACCCTGGACAGCTGGGTATGGCTGCCCGCGTAGGCTGGGCATTCCTTCTTGAGGACATCACTGTCTGTGGTTTTGAACTCAGCTTTTTAACAGCCCTGGAACAGACAGGAAGTTCTCATACCAGCTCTGTGTGTGACCTGAGACATGGGTGCATGCCCAGACTGAAGAGAAGTGCTTCTATTTCTTTGCATGAGTTTCAGCATAAAGAAGCCTAGGCCTGGGGGAAGTCTGTGTGCACATCAGCCCCTCAGTGTAGGGAGTGCAGTTCATGGGGCTCGGGGAAGAAGTCACTACCCGAAAACTTCCAGATCTGGTCAGTGGCAAGTGCTCCAGGTAAGTGATGGAGGTGAGGTGCTCTTGCTTAAACTACATGGTCTGATGAGACACCAAAACAGATGACAAGTACTCACAAGGGCAGTTTCAGCTCAGACATGGTCTGAGAAGTTGCCAGCCCTTGGTTTCTGCTTATTGCAGTGTGGACAGGCTGGGCACTTGTTAAGATGCACGTGACAGCACAACAGAGACAAAAATAGGACATTTACGGATCAAAATCATTTGAAATGAATACTGTGAACATGCTGTGCAGACAGTCTCTGATGTTTTGTGTGTTTCTGCAGATTCCAGATGGAGGTGGAGATTTCCATCAAGGCTATTACACTCCTCTGCCTCAGTTTATTCCACCAAGTTTCCTGCCAGGGATTCATTACGTTCCACCTCCCCTTCCAATCAATGTGTTGGCTGAAACAACCAAGGAAACACGTGGTAAGGAAGTAGGAGATGTGCCCCAGGAGTGCCATTCTTAACCTGGGTTCAGCACCTAGCCTCGGACGTGGAAGCCCTGAGAAACCCATTTGAGCTACAGTTTTTGGAGTTTCCCATCTCTTGAAGTTTCAGGACCGAGATCCTGAAAGTGCCAGGATGGCTTGCAAGCTTGTGCAAGCTCTGGATAGGGCTAACATAGGAAAAGCAACCTGGCATCTTGGGTTTCTGGCTGACAAGCAGCAGCATCTCACACAGAGGAGAGAGGCCCCAGGACTCAGGGTCATTCCAGAGTGGGATCTACTGATGTTCTCAAAATGAAAACATTTTTCTAAACATCCAGTTTGCTGGATTAAAAAACAAAAAGACTTGGCTCTGTTTCAATTTAGATGAAATGTTAAAAAAATACAGACTAACCATGAGCAATGTGGAATTTCTCACTCACCTGGAAATCCTACATTTTAGCTGATGTAAATGAGAGAGAGAATCTTGAAAGTCCCAGGTTGTTGATATTACATCTCACAATGTTTTAGATTTTTGGCATAGATAAGTCTTTGTACCCTTCTTTTTGGGTCTCCCTTGTGTATTGTGTCCACATGTGTCTGTATCTGTAATTATATTTTAAGTTTTTCATTTTTTTGCATCTAGTTGTGACCACAAGAGGGTAGAACTGCTCAAAAATTAGCCAGAAGCACTGAATAAGTGAATAATCTCTTTTATTTTAAATTCTTTTGGAAAATAGAGGTATATAAATAGGACTTTATTTCTCTTCTGGGACCTGAAAATAAGAAATTGTACTTCTGACTGCTTACCAAATTACAGTCATCACCCGGTGAAAAATCAATTCTGCATGAGAGGGAGGAGTGTAATTGTCTCATTTGAATTAAAAACTAGTGATTGTGGTTAGATATGTGGGACAGGATAGAAGCTGGATTTTTTTTTGGCCTGGTTTCTCAAGAAAATAAGGCTGATGCAGTCTCATTTTATGTGTCAGTTCTTCATAACATAAAGCCAAGGAAAATTAAGCATGGCATGGAGAGGATAAGGGAAATAGGAAGAATATGGCAGCTTGGAGAGTGAACAGACATTGTGGAAATGTAAACTTAGTTAGAGGTGCTTATAAATGTATCAGGACTCTAATGCAGTGTTTAGGAGATACTGGGGTGCTCAAGGTGTTACAGTATTTACTCAGTATGAAGGGTAGAGAGGAAAGTGAGGGTTGGCAGGCAAAGCAAAGTGGACATGAGGATTAGTGGGTTTTGTGGTTCAGTGAGGGCAGAAGATCTGAGGATAGTGCGGTGGTAGAAGGCTATATGCCATCTTGAGAGATGCAGGTATAGAATCATAGAATCATAGAATTATTATGGCTGGAAAAGACCTTCGAGATCATCAAATCCAACCGTACTCCCATCAGCAGCCTGTCTGCTAAACCGTGTCCCTAAGCACCTCACCAACAAGTTCCGTAAACACTGCCAGGGATGGCGACTCCACCACTTCCCTGGGCAGCCTGTTCCAGTATGATGAAAGTGGGATGTGGGATGTGGAAGGAACAGGGGCAGAGGGCAGAAAGAGGCACATGGAGGGAAGCAGAGGTATATACCATGAGGAAAACAGAAGATCCAGCACTTATTGGTGAGAGTGACATCCTACTGGCCAAAGAATCATGAAAATAACCAACTGGATAGAGAGAGATCATCAGAGCCCCCTGCACACAGAGCAAAATGCCACCTAGTGACCTCAGCCCTTACTACACACAAGGAAAATCGCCACCTAGGCACGGAGCCATAGGAAACAGTGCGTCATGTGTCCCAGTGCTCAGAGAACAGCCACATTCTCTTGGTACGAGGGAGGAAGCACAAATTAATTCCACAAAACTGTATTATTTTTGCTTCAGGATATGTAGGAATCAGCTAATTGTGACCCAGTGCGGGGGGGATATTTTCTGCATGAGGTTTTATACAAAATAGCAGTCAAAGCAGAAGATACAGATGTGGAGAGAAGCTACAGTGAAACTAAGAAATCTTTGATTCTGTTTTTCAAGACACATCTTGAAAAAAAGGGGAAAGATGTAACATTTAGTGCATAGTGCCATCATGTTATGTCTGTCTTTCCCAAGAAAGGAACTGATTCAAACCTACCATTAGACAGGGGAACATCTTTTCTCCCAAAAGACCTCAAATTGAGGTGAAATGGGCTGTATGGTAAAACAGTTACAGGAAACTGGTTATAGAGAAATAGCACTGGTGGGAAGAAATGTCTGTGATCTCTTGATCTCTGCCTCAGAAGGGAATCTTTGATGAAGACAGATTTGAAGGAAAAAACAAGACTTGTCTGAAAAAGTTTTCCCAAGGCTAAGAGCAGCTGCTAGAACTGTTTGAGTCAATAGTTGACTTGCAGCTGAATGGTTGAGGTCAGCTAGGTTTACAATGGTGATTTGAAGTGCAGGCTATGTGATTATGCAATTTCATGCCATATTCACTAGTAATGATATGGAGATTTCACAAAATAAATGCAAGGTATGTCCAGTACAGCTACCAGTATAGCATCTGATTGCAGGTTGCTGGCTTTCTAAAAGAACAAGACATGGAAAAAAAAAATCCCCCAAATCCCAGTCTCCATGCGAGGAAAATTGCAAACCGGAAAAATGCAAATCTCCAGGTGGATTTGAGGAGGTGATTAGCCAGTCAGTCAAGGCCTCTGTGAATTCAGAGGATTCAAAACACATTGCATAACTTCACTGCCCTTCAGTGAGCGAAACAGTTTGCCTTGTACTTCTATTCCAGCCCACCTTGCCAGCTTGAAGCCCTCTTGCTACGTTTCTTTAAGCACAGCTGGAACAACGATTGCTGTCTGAAGTGCATTGTCTTTGGAGAACTGCAGCTCTTTATGTCAAGCACCTTTAACTGAGTTGAAAAACTACATTTACAAAAGTAATTTTGCATCAATAATTTATTTTTGGAAATGTGATTGACATGGGGTGCAATACAAATTGAAATAAAGATTTGGGGGGCTTTTTGTTTGTGTTTTCATTTGTTTGCTAGTTTTTAATTTTGTTTTCTGTTCTTGTTCTTTTTTTTTTCAGCTGCAGCAGCTGACAGCCAGGATTCAGGAGTGGGCTGTGAACGTGCCCAACTGTCTTCCCCAGAAGAAACAGACAGGGATCAAACTGCATACTCTAAAAATTAAATGGCCTGGAGAAGACCTGAGTAGCAGGCAACACTGTTTTCACTGCTGAAGGGAGTATTGGTTAATAGAGGTATAGAGTAAGACTTAACTGTGGAGCAGCCACAACAGCTGGAAGGGGATCAGTTCCCTGCATCACTTTATGATCATGTTAGAGCTGTCAGCATCACAGCTCTACCCTCCTAGCAGTGCAAAGCCCTTGTTCCTAAGAGAGGTTTTCCAGAGCCACCATAAACCCCTTCCTCCTTAAGCAGGAAGAAACAGCAGGGAATTACGACTCTGAGGGCTGGTTCCCCTCCTGAGGCTGCCTCATACCTCTCTGCTACACACACTCTGTGCATCCTTCTCCTGCTCACAGCAGCGGTCAGAAATGTGTTGTTTGTATGTCTATTTGCTGTAAAGAAAACCTGGTTCTGAGGAAGTTCAGAGTTAAGTGATGTAGAGCCTGAGGATGGGGTGAGAGAGGATGAGAAGATAGTCTGGGTTGCTGATTTACATGTCTGATCAGGAACATGATTCCTTGACAGTCCTCAGGCTGGGACAGTAGCAGGTATTTGGTACACTTGTCAAGGAGGGCTTGAGAGAGATTTGTGGAAAAGCCTGATCTAGACCAAAATCCAGTATCTCCTCAGTGTTTTTCAGGTGAACCACCTTTAGGGCACCTTCCCTTCAGGTAGGGGACAGACTGATTTGGAATCACCTCTTACCACACAGGATTTTGAGTGCCTGTGATGGTTTATACGTTATTTCTGTAGTGTTTAACTCAGTACAATGGAATAACCACTACCCTTTGATTCTGTAGGACTCAGGTAGGCAGCTAAATCCCTATAGATTGGAAGTGTGCTGTGGTGTATCAGAAGAGTGGAGAGATAGACTAGGAAGCTAGGGTAAAACACCATTGAGAATGGTAATTAGCTAAACCCATGCATGTTGTAATTTTCAGTGATAATGTTTAGATAAAAATGAAAGGTCTTTACCTCTACTGTTTTGTTGCAAGAAACTGTTTTGTATTAAGTAGATCTAGTTGTTAAAGTTTGAATAACTTTCGGAGGACTTTTGTGTAATTAAAAATGATATATTAAATTGTTGATATGGATTTGTGATATGAGGCTTGCATATCTACATGTAAGTTTTCTAGGCAAATTTCAGATGCTCTCCTGAACGACTGTGTGTAATGGGCGTGACTGAAAAGAGATGTAGGCTTCAGTATTTTTCTGCTACATCAACTGCTGCTGTAGAGATGAGAAATAAAAATATTCTTTGTTTCTATTACTTGCAGTAATGATCCCTTGCTCAATGCAAGATATAAAGGAATAGTATTAAGCTGAAAAAAACAGGATACTTAAAGGTAGTAGATGATCTGCTGGAATGTTTCCCCTCTGGGATGGCTTGCAGCACACAGCCAGGGCTTTTCGGGGGCAGTGAGTGGAAGTGGCATGCTTAAAATTGCCAGAAGGAGAAACTAAAAAACACATGTACCTGTAACAAATAATCTGATGTACAACTTGTTATGTACTAGATTTACAACAGATTGCAGCTCCCAAGAGTGTCCAAATCTCCTCTCAAAAACTGCTGTGTGCCTGGGAAAATCTGAATATTTCTTGAAGGTGTCTGAATGGAGGTAAAGCTGTTTTCAAAATAAAATCATCTATGAATTGAAACACCAGCAACACCCACAAAGCAGGGTCTTCTGTGGATGGAGTTATATAACATAATGATTTAAGGAAATTGTAATGCACAAGATTGAACAGTTGAATAGTCTCTTTCCCAGATATTTTTCCAAAGTCATAATCAGTGTTGCTTTGCACTCTTTAAATCTCCAAAGCAAGATGGACTCCAGCCCATTTCACAGTCATCGCAGGTATACTGCATGTACTGTATTTTTTTCTCCCTGTTTTGCTGTGCCGGTGTCTGCTTCCAGATTGTCAAGCCAGGCTCCGGGCCTTCCTCTTTCTCCATGTCTTAGAGCCATCTATTAGCTAACCAAAGCCTTTGCTTTGGGTTTGGATCATGATCTGGTGGTCTGGTAGGACTTGTGCATTACCGCAGGCCAATATTCATCCCAAGATGTATGAAGTAGATTTAGAGAGAAAAAAGGCAACTAATCTGAACAAAGAAAAGCAGCAGCCACTTTAAAGAGGAGAGCCTAAGAACACTAGGCTCTTCAGACTAGAGTGGAGAAAGCTGAGGAAATGTCCGAGTTTTACAGCATCACGAAGGCTGTGTCAGAGTAAGTGCAAAACTATTATGAATTTTTTTTATACTAAACCTATTTCCATACACATGAAGGGCAAGAAGGGGGCTGGGAACAGGACAAATCATGCCTGGCCAGCTTGATTGCCTTCTGTAATGGAACAACTGGCTCCGTCAATGAGGTGAGAGAAGTAGCTGTCATCTTGACTTTCACAAGGCTGGTGAGATGGTCTTCCATGGTACCGTTCATCCAGAATGGGGAGGTATGGGCTGGGTGGCAGGATTACAAGGTGGGTGAAAAACTGACTGGATTCTAGGGTTCAAAGAAGGTAGTTGTCACTGGTCTGAAGCTTAGTGACTGGTAGGCAGTTAAAATTGGCTTTCCTGATACGTAATTGTTTGGTGTCATCTTCAGATTGTTACGGTTTGGAAAATTTGTCCCAAAGTTGTTTTGCACCTATCTTTATGTGGAAAGATGGATTAATTGGTAGACAGTTAAAAGTTTGTAACTCCCAACCAACAGGGAGGATTATTTTAGGTTGGTTCTTCCATGTTAGGCTCAGTTTGTCGTTTTTAACCAAGATAAAAAAACGTGCCTTTAGCAGTGGTATTTTCATATTGTGTTTCTAAAGACTTCCAAGCAAGTAATTTTAATTCCAGACTTAGTGCCAACCAGTGTTTCCAGTGATTAAGCTCTGTGATCTCTTCTGACTCCATTTATTTGAATAAATTACTTACGGTTAATGAAATCATTTGGACTGAAATGGAGTGATTTGGATTGAACGAGTCACTTGGGGATCTTCCAATCTAAATCATCCCAGATTTTTATTTTATTAAGGCTGAAGCCACATATAGTTGGTCAAATTCATAGAACTAGGGGACAAAAAGGAAAGTTAGCTATGACATCTGCTCCTGAAGTCTTTCCACACACAAGCTACTGCTCACTGCAGTAGGAATTCTGCATATAGCATTTACATCATCATTATTATTTGATTTCTTGGGATTAACTACTTTGCTGAACAACTCTGAATTTCTGAAGATGTGGTTCCTGACTTCATTCAGTCCTCTGTCCTCACTGCAAGCAGCTGGGTCATCACAGAACAAGTATTATTTGTACACTGAAGGGGAAAACCTAAAATTAGTAGCCAGTTCTTTAAAGCTTACTCACACCACTAATTTCATTACTTTCAGTGGAATTATTTGTAAGGGTACAGAGCTGACATGTTAGTTAGGTATGCAAGTTTAGGCTCCAAGTTTTATACAGAGGTGTCTGTGACACTGGCCAAAACCTCAGATTATTGTAGATTTGCATTTTCTGCAGGAGCTTTGGAAAAAAGGAAAACAAACCCAAGGGATTCTAGAAGGATCACGTAATATGTCCATTCTGCAAGCATATGTGAGACTCATTTGTCATTGCCCTAGAGCAAACTGCAAGATGTTAGCATTCTGCGGTATCGCTTTCTACATCTGGACTGAAGCAGGTTTTTGTATGACAGTGATTATAATCCTAACTCTCACTTGCTTTTTTTTTTTTTTTTCCTTTTCTTCTTGGAATTAGATGAGCCCAAATGGAAACCTCTGAATCCACAGCAAGACTATAGCTGTTTTTTCCACATTAATGAGTAATTAATTTTGAACAGAGATCCAAAGAAATAATTTAACTGCCTACCAGTAAAGTCAGTTTGCTGCAAACAAAATTCTCCCTCCCCTTAAAAAAATAATTTTCATGACAGAAAAATTATGATGTGAAACATACCTACTTTGGAACAGTGGAAACTTTAATTAAATCATTCTTATGGGCAAATAGGTCTGGTTTTCCTATTTTTGCCCAGTATTTTACTACTGCAATATTAGCATTAGTCACAGAGACACTGCTCTTGCCAAAATGTAAGAGAGGAATGAAAATTTAGAGAAAGACCTTGTGGAATCTAGTCCTGAAAGAGGGGGTTTATCCGTGTATTTGATTGCAGCCATTGTGGGAGCACCAGATCCCTCATGGGTGACCAGGCAGTGACATGTCCATTCACCCCCAAACTCCATGCATTTTACTTGTGTAAGTATCCTCAGGGTTTGTCTTGTCAGGCATGAGCAAGGCGTGAAGAAACGAGGCTAGAACATTTCTGGGAAGAAAAAAAAAAAAAAAAGCAGCAGTCTTATTGTACTACTTTTAGCTGCAGCATATACCACTTTACTCCTGTTTTCTCCTGTTGTCCTTCCGGCTCGCACTTCAGATCTTGGCCTCCTCAGCTGTGCAACATTAATGGTGAACTTGCTACTGACTTTGTAGCAATGAGGCTCTAATTATACATCAGTTCTGAGCTCACACTGCCTTCACATTTATTTCATGCAACTGTCTTTAGTGGAGGCATTTCTGGTTGCATTTACTAATTACTTTCAGCATTTTATAGTCCTAATGGTACAATCTACTCAAAGGTGTCCAAGCCACATAAGCTAGGGCAAATCCAAAACATTTATTTTTACAAAATGTGGTTTAAATAACAACCACATGCAGAGTTCCCTGGGAGAACCTTTTCTGTTTTTTTTTCTGTTTCCCATTAAGAAATGTGTTCTTTTGATCAAGGTGCAAATGGACTGTTTTTTATATTTTTCCTTAGTAAATATGCAGTCACATTCTAATAATTCAGAAGTCCCACGTACCCGCAGAAAATAGTTTGGTTTTTTTTTTTTGACATTCCCTTCCTCATTTACTGTCTCACGTTTTCAAATGGGGATTTATGGGATGTATTACTTATTCTATTTCAGACCATGATTTAATGAGGTTTCTACAACTTTAGATAGCAGAGATATCT